CAGAAGGTTGGGGAGGTTGTGAGAGCGCGCCTCGCCTTGACTGTTTCAAGGTGAAGCCATGGCCAAGAATCGAAACTCCCGAAACCGAGCAACTGCTAGAGCGAATATGTCGGGAATACCACGACGATGAAACCAAGGCGTTGAGAATGTACATCAAGTTGTATGCAGCTGATGCGGATGTCATCATCACACTGCTCGTCGCGAATCTCCCAAACCTGGAGAGGTTAGACTTGGAATTCGGAGAGTTTCGTGACCACAAGCTCTTTTGCGAAATGATCAAGGGGTCTGCCGGGCGCCTTGAGGCTAAGAAAGCGGCGTCACTCAATTCGACGGAACCTTCCTCGTCTCCAACCGCCCCATTGCCAAAACCTGTTGATGTGTTCATCAGAGATTCTGATTCTGGCGACGTTGACTATCTGGCATCATTCTTCCACCTGCCGAATCTTCGCTCCATGTACGCATTCAAGTTTGGGGATGACGATGAGAATATCAGTACAATGGAGAGGAATCCATTCGCCGTGCTGGGACTGCGATCCTGTGGCGTGCAATACATCGAGCTCAGAGCCTCCTCGCTGGCAACGCATACGTTGCGACAATTGATCGAAGCGACTATACCGGGGAACTTGAAAGCTTTCCTGTATGAGAGGGCATGTTCTTTGACTTCGCGCTCCGCGGAGCTTCCCTTTCTCATGCGTTGTCTGGAAGATCATCAAGATCACCTAGAGACTCTGGCGCTCGGTTACGAGGAGATCGAAGGCTGCATGGTATTTGAACATACATGGTGGGAGTTCTTTGACAGACGGCCGGTCGCCATGTCATTCACTTCCTTCAAGTCTCTTCGGCGCCTTCGAGTAGCGCCCGAAATGATGTGGGGATACACCCATGACGAATGCACTGTCCAGTACGAGGAGGACATCATGCTGACCATAGACATGTTTTGGAAAGCCATTCCAGCATCCTTGGAAGAGCTCTGGCTTACACGGTCGCAACACCATTGGATACCGGGCTTTATGTCCCATGATCTCGGCATCATCCCCAACATCTTTATACCTGCGCTCGACCGTCTTGTAGAGGAAAGCAGCAAAGCTTGTCCCCATCTCCGGTCGATCTGCATTGAACTCCTACCTAATCATTGGGAAGTCCTGTGGCTGGATGAGCTAGCCGAATTTTGTCACGACGCTGAAAGCAGAGGTATCCACTGCACTGTCATCTTCCTTTGTCCGCGTGAAGTCAACTCCGATTTTAGAAGGAATGAAGCGGTCGAGCGTGGATGGGGCTGGAACGAAGATGTCGAATGGAGCGAGGTTTCTATGAACGCAAACAAGACATGGCGGAAACATGTCATTCATGCAGCAAAGGAGAATGACTTGAGAGGGAAAATGAGGGCGCTTCAAAACAGTAGCTTCGAGTACGTAGACAAGAAGTCGTCGTTATTCGAAGAGACCGACACCGATGACGACTTGTCTTTATCAGGACACAGCGGCACCGACGACGACTTATCTCCATCAGAACAGAGCGACACCGACGCTTGGGAATAACGAACTCCGAAAGGAAGAACAAAGTCAAGAAGTGCAACGGAGTTCAATCGGGAGTTGGTATTGGGTCGACCAAACATGTCGGTGGAGCCATCCGAAGGACACAATCTACGTCAAAGGGGGCGTTTAAGGTAGTGGATCCAATAAAGCAAGGAACATATGTACAAGCACACGGCAATAACTATGAACAAGAAGGGAAAACATCGCGACGAGCACGACATCTAGTGCGCAAACGAAAGATCAAACATCAGACTGTGTGGTCGCACCAATAGCAGCACCGCTCTTCGGCACCAGGAAGTCGCTCTTCGGAACCCTTCCATCAGCACCTCTTGCCTTCTTCAACGTCGCAGGATCGACGCTCACGAAGCTAGCATCCGACCAGCTGCCCGACTGCCACGAGTTGCCCGTAGCCTTGATACCCGACGCCGTGAGGCTGACCTGCGAGCTACCCACATTCGAAACAGCAACATTGTTCTTCATGGTCGAACTCGAGCTGCGGAAATTGAAACCGACGTCGCCATTCTTCCACGCGGTGTTGCGCTCGACCGTCAAGCTACCAGGGTTCCCGTTATCAATAAACCCCTTCTTCGCGTTGGAAAAGGCCATGCAGTTGCGCACGATGTGGTTGGCAGGCGGGTTATCCGTGATACCGAGCTTGAAGCCGTTGCCGTCTCCCTCGAAAGAGCTGAAGTCCCAGCGGTTGAAGCCGTTGCCCCACGCATACACCTCTTCCAGCGTGACGGACGAGCCGAACATGAATAGGTCAAGGCCGTCATCGACGTTCTCCCATAAGCGCGCGTTGCGCAGGACGTTGCCCTCGCCCGATCCTTCTTTGCACGCGAAGCCGTCGGCGGATTCGCCGTTCTTGCGCGGGTCGCGGTTGCGGTACGAGTCGAGGTATACGACGGTGTTGTTGGAGGAGGCGCCCTGGAGTTGGAAACCGGTTTCGTAGTTGTCGTGCGTGGTGAGAAGTTCGTAGTGGTTGTGCGATGCGTCGCGGGCGTATACGCCGTATGGGCCGTTGATAATCCTGGGCGTTGTGTTAGTATGCTAAACGGTCGGGGTGCGGAGGTAGATGGATGTATTTACTCCAAGTTGTAGAACTTCCAGTAGTTTGCTTTCTCGATGTGGAGAGCACCGCGCTCCTTGTTCGGTAGAGACTCGTCTAAGCCATACGGGGTGCCAGGCATGCCTTCACCGTCGATGATGACCTTCTCCTTCTCGAAGGAACGGAGAGTGATGGGCTGGATTCTGGTGCCGCTCTTGGTGATTTGGATGTTTGTCGTGGGCTTGTATGTACCAGCGCGGAGAAGGATTACATCGCCAGGCGCAGCAGCGTTGACGGCTGATTGGATTGAGCCAAAGGGTGCGGCAGAGGTGCCCGTTCCTTGACCTGTTGGCGAAACATAGATGTCTTTGGCATTTGCAGAAGCAGATAGCGCGGCGATAGCAGCCGCGAAACTAAGCGAACGCATGTTGAAAAGTGGTATGATAATACAAGGTGAGTATTGAGATGTTCTGGTAGGCCAAGGTGATTCTGTAATCCTACAACGAACAGCCTATGGACTCTATATACTCCCAGCTCAATCTCCGTGGCATCTCGCGAACCCAAGATTTCGTCGCATGTCATGAGTCCGTACCTCTGTACCTCTCGTGTCAGTCGCCAAGATGTAATAGATGAGCATGCGCCGTCGTCGAAGCTCCACCAATGCCTTAAATTTCCGACTCTTCGCTTCGTGCAACCCTCGACGCGGTGACACAGGCGCCCGAATGAGCAAGCTCTGCTGTACCCCACACTCGCTTGCGGTAATTATTCATGTCGCACGTGGTGGCGCATGCGAGTGGGTATGTGATTGATGGATCGCACAGACGGAGTTTCAAACATCGCCAAGTGAGAGGAGGTTTTGCGCTATGCAGACATTGGTGCAGACGACCTTTATTGCGACTAGGTAGCACCGGGAGAACTTTGACCGAGGGACTATACATCCGATTCATGGATCTCCATACGCACTGTTGCGAGTCGTGCGCAGGTGATGGTGTGGTGGTGAAGTGGTGTTGAAGGATAGTGTTCAGTAATCTGAGATGGCCGACCAGCGGCAATGGCGGCCGCCGAATGCGCCAAGCTAGTCCAGATCTTGTGCTGCCCCCAACGCCAGTCTTAATGCTTGTTGAACAACTCGATGTTGACAAAGGACGGCCTCATGTACCTTGTGCTGGTAGGGGATAACGCTCATTCACCGTCGTATTCCACGCTTCCAAGCCCACAATCTTGATCTCGTTGTCGCGTCACCTTCCATGCATCGACATCTTCCGGAGATATCCCACTAACACCCTTCCACCATCCATCTTGGGTAAAGTTGAAAGGCCACAAGTCAAACGCCATACGTCCGATGTTTGTCTTCTCCTCTTCCGTCTCCATCTCTTCCTTCGCTTTGTACAACAGGTCGTGGAGCAATTTAGCCCCGAAGCCCTTGAAGTGTACGTGAACAAGCATTTCATCGATGTGCGACGGTACGCTTGCGTTGGGCTTTAGGTGAAATGGTAGATGGACAATCGGCCACGTATAAGGGTTCCGAGGGTCCCATTCTTGTGAATCGTCGACTGGCGATCGTTCATCCCGCTTTGCGCGTGTCTTGAGTGGTGTAAGTACGTGGTCAATCTCGTCCGGGTCACCGGCCGCGATCGTTGGAGAGCGGCGGTGCAACACCGTAGAAGGCGTTGTCACAGGCAGTTTCGCAAGTGAAGAGCCACGAGCTGGCCATACGTTCGTCCCGCTCGGCCAGCCTTCGAGCGATCCTGGTACGTCGCGGTAGAATGAGGTAGGAGAGGTCACACGCCATGGGACTTGCGCTGTGGTAATGAGATACATGTCCTCATCCGGACTGTACTCTGGTGTCGACGGGTCCACTGAGCTCGCTCTCGGCGACAGTCCTTTGTCGCAAGCGCTCGACACGACCCGCGCTACATTCCTCTGATCGCTGGCAGGCGCTTCTTGCACCTGGTTCTCAGCTATGCGTAGCGGTGGGAACGAGGTGTATGAATTCGAAATATCAAGAGGCTGCCTCATAGTCACGAACCTGGTGAGAAGTGCCGTAGACGCGGTCGTCACCTAAAGGCTTAGTTAAGTGTGTACCCCAGCTCCACTTCAAGCGCGCTTCGGGAAAGCTCCGCAAAGAAAAGTGGACATATAAGATCACTTATTACGCGCGACAAAGTCGGTGGCCTTGCTGCGAGCATGTCTTGTTTGGCTTGTCACCGTCGAGCCGCTGCGAATCCGACTTCATGAAATCATGACGGACATCACGCGCCACGAGCGAAGGGAGAGCACATCGGAAAGATTTAAAGTATACTCAGTACCTATCTAACTGCTATCAGCAAGAGAACAGACCGCTTACGCGCCGTGTTCGAAGGCTAACACATCCAGACAAGTGGTGTCGGGTCTGAGCCTTTGTAAAGACCGCCATCCTAGAACATTCCACCATGGATATCGCGCTTGCCGTGCGGTGAGTCTTCGGCCGTGATGCCGCCGGTGAGCAGACTCGTCGCGTTGCGGACAATACTAGTCGTAGCTAGAATGTTCATGAGAGTGATCTCGTCCGACTTCTTTGTCCAGCCCAAATCGTTAGGCAGACGTTCATTTTCTGCTCTGACGTTAGCTTCCAGTCTAACATTGCGCTCGAAGAATTTGTGTGCACTCACCAAAGAAGTACTGCATCAACGTGCGGTTGACAGTACCCTCCTCAAGAGAACCAAAAGCGATGATAGGCGCTGCGACTTCACCCAGACTGAACTCTTCGGTAGAAGCGGTGAAGGTGTAGTTTGGGTTCGTTGCTCGGCTCTCCAACTGACGGAAGATCTTGGAGTTGGCCAGCATCTTAGCTGTTACCACCTCTTCCGTCCACCACTGCTTCGATACATTGTATACCGTCTCGTTGAAGACGTGGTTGTTTCCAAATGCCGCATCGGTACGCGTCAGGCTGGCGTCGTGCTCGAGGACATTGTGGACGTTGAGCTGTTCGAGCGTGAAGAAAGTCGCGTTTGGTTCGGGATTGGCAATGATTGCTTGCTGCCACATGAGAGCGCCGAGAGACGCGTTGAAGTTCAGACCATCTTTCAGACCCTTGACTACGTTCTCTTGGGTGAAGTTGCGGCCATCGCGGGGAAGAAAGCCGTGATTCGCGAGGGTGTTAAGCATCGGGCATGGGCCGCGGACTGCAAATATCGGCATTAGATCTTGTTCCACATTATAGCTTGTATACATACAGTCATTTGGCGACGCCGCCATCCAAGCATGAGGATCCGAGGGTGCGGCATCGTACTGAAGTTTCGCCGAGGCGAGTGTTGCGGTGGAAGCAACAAAGACGGTGGTAAACTTCATGACGGAATGGAAGATAGCGGTGATGAACGTGTGGTAGTCACAGAGCGAATTGAGTTGCTGTGTAGGCTGTTGTTGCAACACTGACAAGAATGGAGCCATGTCTTATATGTCTCTTTGCAGACCCCAGGATTGATAGCTCTAAAAGGAACGTTAGTAAACACCTTCGTCCGTATGGTATACGCGTAATAGCTATCGCTAGTTTGTGGTACCAGCTTCGCATCCAAGACCAGATAGATAGCAACATAGTGCCAGCATCCTAGGTGATGCACGCCGGGAAGGGCGCACAGCCATGCTTCCGGTGTCGATCCGCGGAAGCGCGAGATCTAAAAGCCCCAGATCCTTTGTTTCAACGAGATATCTGGCCAGTAATGTTTTCGCCGATTGAATAGCACAGCGCACGGCAACGTCAGGTTGGGGGCACAAGTCGCGTATCGGAAAGGATACGGGTCAGGAGACCGTGCATACGCGTATTGAGCTTCGCTGTCGGTCTCGCACTCGCACTCCTGGATCGCGTAGACTACTTCTCCCATCAGAAGTCGTCGTCATACTTTGATCTTCGGAGTGTACTGGTAAATCCGTCAACTCTAGAGATTGCTCCCTCCGAATTCCTCTCGCGACAAGCTGCTGCCTGGGAAGCCACCGGGACGAGTCTCTTCCGCAATGCCGAATAAGTCGGCTTCGAAAACAAGACGACGGGTACGTATCGCAGCCTTCAAAGAATGCTGAAAATGACATGACCCTCATCTATGTCTCCATTAAGGTGTCGACTGATCGCTAGCACAACATCGCCGTTGGCTCGGGGCCCCGTTGCGGCAGCGGGTTTCGCGTCGCTAGGCACAAACGTAGAGACAAGTCAGGAAGTTACCGCCACCACAGTATGGGTTTTCATCCGGAACACATCCGATGTATGTTGAAGGGAAATCGCGCAATGTTTATCGTGATGGATGCTTGGTAGAGCGAGGGCAGTGCGCGACGACGGGTGCGAATGAGGGGTAGCCTGTCGCGTCGTCTACGACAAGGGGCAGGCACGGCTGGCACCTGGCACCAACAACCCACAACGACACCGTAACATCTTCAAGGTCTGCCCACAACACCCAAACACACGGCAGACTCACTTCAAATAGCGAAGAAGCGGTCAACCCCTCACCAGATACCATCCCCATTCCCCCCAAACCCGTACCTGCGCAAGCCTCACCTCGCGCACCTCCGGTCCAACGAAACCGCGTCCCCACGTCCTTCCACATGCGCCTCACAAAAGGCCATCACTACCCCTCTACCCCTCCCGCCTACCATTCGCTGTAGACCCTGATCCTTCAGCGCAGTTCTACGCTGTCCAAGGCGAGGCGGCGTGCGGCTCTGGCTCACGCTTGGCAGCCAACGCCACGTGATTGGCCAGCTGTAAACGCCACTAACTTTGCCTTGCAGCCAATTCTGATCGCTACAACGAGGGTCGCGGAGTGCGCTAGGCTGTCCTCACCTCTTTGTGGCCAGCAAATGCTGCGGTTTGGTCGGGATAGGCATGGTAGGGGTGGGTTGGGGTTGTTCTGGAAGGTGACAATAAGGCGTAATGGGGTGCTATTCGTGGCATGAAAACCCCTCGTGTTCTTACTATTGGGATTGACAGCCCAGCATATCCTTTCTCTCATTATTGAAAGTAGTTCCTGTCGCTTTTCTTCTGTCCCACTCTGGACTTTCGCTCATTGCAATACTGTCGTTACAATTAGCCTCTAATTGGACCCTCCTCGCATCTCTTCTACTCGATTTCGAGAACAACGCTTTTACATCTTCAATCATCTTATCGTCGCTTTCTATTTTACACACACAACGCTTTTGCATCTCTAATTATCTTTACTCAAAGAACCCATCAACCTATCACATCAACAACAACCAAACACACACAATGCCACCAAACCCCCTCCCCACGCACTCCCTCACCCCCGAAGCCCCCCCAGCCATAATCCCCATCCCAAACGGCAGCTCCCGCCGCGACGGCTTCAGTCCCGGCGCGATAATCGGCATCGTAATAGCCATCGTGTGCCTCCTCCTGCTCGTCCCCATCATCGCCATTCTCCTCCGCCGCTACGAAAAGACGCGGTTACGCGAGACGCCCAAGCTCAGTCCGGGAAGCCCTGGAAGCAGCGATATCAGTCTGCGGAGTGTGCAGGAGAACCATAGTTTGAAGAGTATACTTGTGACGAAGGAGTTGTCGCGATCCAGTATGAGGATGGAGATGGACAGGGTGGATTCGGGAAATGGGGTAAGGAGGCCGGAGGAGGTTTATGGGCAGGGGAGGGAGAGGGAGAGGGGGTGGAGTTGTACGGAGGTTAGGGGTGGGTGAGGGGGAGAAGGGGGTTTGCGATCTTGCTTTTTCATGATGACTGGTCATCATGTCGCATGCGTGGATGCCATGCGACGAAAGGAACGGACCTATCAAGCTCCGCTTATCGACACACACCACCGCGATAGTGGTGCGGCAGGTTCGGCTACTATCGCGGATAAGGCGACCAGTTACGAAGACACAGTGGAATACGTCTTGACAACCACGCCGTCCAGGCTCGATGGTATTTAGTGCCTCGATCAAGTCGCAGGAACAGTGCGTAGGCGGGTGGCAATGGTGACCGGAGTCAGACTTGATGGATGAGTTGGCTTCGTGATGGCGGCTGGATAGGTAATGGGTGAGGGCCACTGAAGAGAAAGGGTTGAAAGGGTAGTTTTGTATCTTTGTCGATGGTATTGCGACGTCTTATAGCTTCCGATAAAGATGAACCTGCATACGCATATTCTCCAGCTCAATCGGATACCTTAATCTCTCATCCAACCTATACCACCTACTATCATCCTCTTTAATCTTCTCCCACCTGACAATCTCTTCCTTGCCGCGCTCATTCAGATTCCCGCTGGCCTGCTTCAACAGCGTGTGGTCGAGGAGCCACTGCATGGGGTACTTCTTCTCGGCGCCGTTCAGCGTGACGGATGAGTAACTTCCGGGGCTGTCGACGACGAGGAGGAGAGCGCCGGGCTGGAGGATAGATGTCATGAGGAGAAGAAACTTTTGGGTCAGGGGGAGTGAGGCTGTGTAGAGCTCATTGAGGGTGAAGAGGAGTGTGACGAGGTTTGCGTCGGCGAGTTGTGAGGAAAGTTCTTCAGCCGAGGCTGAGAGTACGTCTTGCTGCTTGAATCGTACGGTGACGTCTTCTGGATTGAGAGGTGGAACGTTCGCAGCTCTCGCAGCGGCTGATGCGTATTTCGACAGTTCGGCTGGGACTGTGAGTTGTTTGGCGAGGTTCTCCACGACCACACTCCAGTCGGCGATGTCGATCGCGGTAATCTCCACATGACCTCTCGGGCCATCTACATCTTCCCCGTCTTGCGAATACGTGGTCGACATAAGCTTTTGCAAGCCGCCCAAAGTCACAATCTCCGCGCCCGCTCCACCACCCAAACACACAATCTTCCTGTTCTTCGGCTTGACTTGCTCGGTTTTGTCTTCTAGATCCTCTTCCTCCTCTTCCTCATCAACCCATATCTCGTCCCTCAACTCCCACATGAGATCCAAATATCCCAACGCGCGACTCGGACTCCACCTCGCCGCATACGCCTCCAAATACTCCTTCTTTCCAAACGCAGTCGCAAAGTCGCGCTTGTAAAGATGGCCCTTGACTTCCTGTAACAGCGGCGTAATATCCGCGCTCATCCTCTCCGCGAACGAGTTGCGGAAAATGTTCAACAAAAGCTGTTGGAGTTCAATCGGAATGTAAGAAATGCCTGGTCCTTTAGCGCCATTCGCCAGACGCTTTTCCGGTTTTTTGGGTTTCGCAGGTTGCGTTCCTTCTCTTTGCGCCTTGCGCTTTGCGTTCAGCTTGGAATTGGGCGCCATGGTTGCTGTTGTCGTTGGGTTTATTGTTTACAGCCGGGTGCGACAGTCATCGGACTAGGTGGGAAAGGATGGTGAAAGTCTCGTTATCGATAAGTGGTAAGCGAAGAGAGGTCTGATTCGCCCCCGCCGGCTCAGTGTTCGGAATGCGTTCCGACGGCTCCAGCTCTATTGCCGACCTCGGGATATGTTATGACGAGCACGCAGCTTGACTCATCTCGATCTCGACGAAGAGGAGCAGACGCGTTTGACTCAGACTGAGTCCTTATCTATATAAGTCGACAAGAAGACGTTCACGATTACAAGAACATTTCATCAATTCACCAACCTCACAATGCGTCTTCCCTACGTCCCCGACCCCCCAAACTTCACGTCCGAAGAAGACAAAGCCGTCGAGCAGCGCGTCAGACAACGGCGAGGCGAGAAGGGCCTCATAGCTCTAGACCGGACATTGCTTCATGCTCCCCCGGTCGCGGACGGGTGGTAAGTTCCAAAGCATCATGCTCAAATCTTCCATGTCATGCTGTCCCAGTCCGCACACGATGAACGGGCGCATAACACAGCCATATCCACTCCAACCACCCCAGTATCCGCCAACCTAACAAGCAAATCCAGGAACTCATTCCTCGGCTCCATCCGCACGAAAACCAGTCTACCCACATCCATCCGCGAAACAGCCATTTGCCGCGTTGCAGTTCTAAACAAGGCATGGTACGAATGGGAGTCTCATTCGCCGATTCTAGAATCAGCTGAAGGTATGCCTATTCCCCCATCACCCTATTCCCATTTCTCTTCTTCTCCTCTTCTCCTCTACCACCATTCCCAGACACCTACTCACTCCCCAATAAGATGTCACAAAAGCCCAAGTCCTCGCCGTCCTAAACTCCAAACCGCGGGAACCACTCGCCGACTTAGGCGAGAAGCTGGGCGCTGTACTGGCATACACGGATGCCATGACACTAGACGTGCGTGTGCCAGACAGCGTGTTCGAGCAGTTGAAAATGGTGGGATTCAGCGAGAAGGAGATTGTAGAGATCACAGCGACGGTCGCGGCGTATAATTGCGTGAGCAGGTTTTTGGTTGCGTTGGATGTGGGGGAGAGGAATGCGCAGACGGGGCCGAAGGAGGGGGGGAAGGAGTAAATATGTATGAGGCCATGGATCGGTGTGATTGGCGAGTGAGTCACTTAGCTCTGGCTGTCAAACGGACGTAGCATTGTATGTTTGCTGCATTCCAAGCACAGGCTTGACTTATCCCATGTGTATATTCTCCATCTAACTGCCTGCACATCTCTCTCCTGAGCTTTATCGTCACCCATCACCCATTAAGCTACCCTACTCTGCCTAGCAATCTTCCTCCTCTGCGCCAACATATGCGAGAACAGAATGTAACTTCCTGGGACATAGATGGCTAGTATAGCCCAAAGCGCGTATCCAAACAACTCGTTCCTCTCACTAGCCAAAGGGATAGCCTGGTACACCAACCAGCACTCACTCGAGATACCAAGAGGGTAGAGAACGAGGAAGGTGTTGTATCGCAACCAGGTCCAGAGCTTCGGAACACCGGCACCAGATAAGGAAAAGACGAAGTAGGAGTAGCGGATTACTTCTGTGACGCTCCAGGCGAGCAGCATGGTGCTGTAGGCGGGCGAGTGGCGGGTCGAGAGAGGGAAGGCGGGGGGCGAGGCGATGAGGTGGACGAGGAGGAAGCGGGATGCGACTTGCATGAGGGTGGTCAGAAGGGGTGCTCGGACAAGACCTGAAGTGTTGTTAGTAAGGATCTCAATGTAAACAACCAAGGTTTCTCTCGCGCAAAGACCCATTCAGGTTCGAGCGCATAAGACAGGATAAGGAGAAGAGATGAACATACCGACAAGACTATGCAGAACCTCCATCCCCGCAACCGTCTGCACCCCCCTCGTATACCCCTCCAAATTCCCATACACCTTCCCGCTTCCCAACCCCCTCTTCGCCGCGGTGAACCAATCGCCCTTGCCAAAGAACTTCCCCGCCTTCTGTGCATTCACCACCTCATTCGCACCGATCGTGACAGTCTGGAAGAGTACGCCTGCCCAGAGCGCGGCGGAGACGGCATTGTACAGCATGAGGTAGGCATTCTTCGCTCCTCCGGATGGTTTGGTGGGTCGCTGGTCGTTGGGGGCCGCGGCTCGCGCAGCCTGGGATGTTTTGGATTTGGTGGACATGTTCGTGGGTCAATTGTGATGCAATTGATTTGAAACAAAGTTAGAAGTGAGGTGCCGGGGTTTGTGTGCCTGAGGCTCAAGGGAAGTATGTAGCAAGCTGCCCTTTTCTGCGCATGCAGCTCGGTCTCGCGTACCTGAGGACCCTTGTTCTTGGCGCCGGATTCCCGAGGTCCATCCACGTGGGATGAGATCATCATACGTTATTTCGACATGAGCGCCCATGACCTTCATCATCGCAATGAACAAGATATTCGGGACACGTAGCACATCAATATTCACAAGCACTCGAGTCAGAATCATCCATGTCGCAGATTCATCTAAATCCTCGCATACTAATTACACCGGTCATCCCTCATCTCGCTCTTTTTATATTTCACCGGGGGCAATAGGGCACGCTCAGAGAATCGACCGCTCGTAGGTACTAGCTAGTACCATATATAAACTCAAACCAAACATCCGTGCAAAAAACGCCATGCTATGCAAATGCAAACAAAATGCGAATAGATATGATAAGAGAGAGAGATGCAAGCAAGGGTATCGTCAAACCACCCAACCATGACTGTAGCCGAGATATATGTCCTTGGGGAAAAAAGACAGAAGAGGTCCATTGAAGTTATCCATCTCTTGAACTTGCGTGATCACAAGAACACCTGAATCATGCTCTTCTTATGGGACACGTTCTTATCGCAGTCCTCGACCACGCAGACCTTGAAAGGGTTCGTGTTTGCGCGCGTCTCCTTGCCTTTGGCACTGCGCTTCGCCGATCGATTGGCTGTGCATTCGCCGCAGTATACCTAGCACATTGTTAGTTTTGTCGTCGTGCCGTCCGTCACAAGCTAAGACTTACATGACCGCATCCCTTGACAATCCACACCTGCCTCTTGATCTCGTCGCTGCCGACACACAGCTGTTCTTCGCAATTGGGACATATAAGCGCCTCTCCTTCTTCTTCTGGACTCCTCGTGAAGCCCTCCGGGGCTGGTGGTGGCGCGTCATAGGTAGCTGGAGGAGGCGGTGCTTCGCGTACCCGTGGGCCAATGTCGAAGCCTATGATGTCGAAATCCAGATTGGGCGCTTGAAATGCGCCTACTCGGATGTGCGGCGCACGACCCCGAGAGGCACTGCGCGAAGGGGCGACGGGTTCGTGGAAGCGGTTTGCGGTGCGGTTGACCTGTTCGTGGAAT